CAGTTTCTTTGCCCAATTTTTTTTTTTTGAGACAAATCTCTGTTGCTGGGCTAGAATGCTGTGGTATCAGCTTAGCTCACAGCACCTCATACCTGGGCTGAAGCAATCCTCTGCCTCAGCCTCCCTAGTAGCTGGGACTACAGTCATGCGCCACCATGCCCAGCTAATTTTTTTTGTAATATATTTTTTTTTTTTTTTTGAGGCAGGTCTCACTTTGTTACCCAGGCTGAGATGAGTGCTGTGGCGTCAGCCTAGCTCACAGCAACCTCAAACTCCTGGGCTCGAGCAATCCTGCTGCCTCAGCCTCCCGAGTAGTGCTGGGGACTACAGGCATGTGCCACTATGCCTGGCATATTTTCGTATATATATTAGTTGGCAATTAATTTCTTTCTATTTCTAGTAGAGACAGGGTCTCGCTCTTGCTGGTTCGAGCGTGAGCCACCGCGCCAGCCTTTTTTTTTTTTTTTTTTTTTTTTTTTTTGAGACAGAGTCTCGCTTTGTTGCCCAGGCTAGAGTGAGTGCGTGGCGTCAGCCTAGCTCACAGCAACCTCAAACTCTTGGGCTCAAGGGATCCCTCCTGCCTCAGCCTCCAAGTAGCTGGGACTACAGGCATGCGCCACCATGCCCAGCTAATTTTTTCGTATATATATTAGTTGGCCAATTAATTCTTTCTATTTATAGTAGAGACGGTCTTGCTCTTGCTCAGGCTGGTCTCGAACTCCTGACCTTGAGCAATCTGTCCGCCTTGGCCTCCCAGAGTGCTAGGATTACAGGCGTGAGCCACCGCGCCCGGCCTGTAATATATTTTTAGTTGTCCAATTAATTTCTTTCTATTTTTAGTGGAGATGGGTCTCACTCTTGCTCAGGCTGGTTTCGAACTCCTGACCTTGAGGATGATCCTCCCGCCTCCGGCCTCCCAGAGAGCTAGGATTACTACAGGCATGCACCTCCATGCCCAGCTAATTTGCCCAATTTTTAAAAAATGCCTCCTAGTTTCCCTAGTTCAACATGAGAGGAAAAAAATAAAAAAGATAAAAAAAGGTCTCCTAGTTTAATTTTTTAAAATTTAATTAATTTTAGACATGGGGTCTTGATATATTGCTCAGTCTGGCCTAGAACTCCTGGCCTGAATCAATCCTCCCAGCTCAGCTTCTTGAATAACTGGGACTACCAGCATGTACCACCACACCTGGCTCCTTTGCTTGGTTCTTAAGGGGATTGTTGTTATTATTTTTTGCTGTTGAGTTCGTTATATATTCTGGATACTAGTCCCTTGGCTGATGAATAGTTTGCAAATACAACTATAGTCGTCCCTTGGCATACTTGGATTGCTTCCAGGACCCCAAAGTATAACCAAAATCCATGCATACTCAAGTCCCATAGTTGGCCCTCCATATAGGAAAATTTCACATCCTCCGAATACTGTATTTTCTATCTGCATTTGGTTGAAAAAAATCTGTGTGTGTGAGTGGATCTGCACAGTTCAAACCCATTGTTGAGAGTCAACCGCGTTTTCTCCCATTCTACAGGCTGTCTCTTCACTTAGTCCCATTTGTTTGTTTTTGTTGCCTATGCTTTTGAAGTCTTAGCCATAGAATCTTTTCCTAGACCAGTACCCTGAAGCATTTGCCCTGTGTTTTCTTCAGTAGTTTTATAGTTTTGGGTCTTATATTTAAGTTTTTAATCCATTTTGAGTTGATTTTTTTGTATATGGTAAGAGATAGGGGTTTACTTTCTTCTGCATATGGATATCCAGTTTTCGCAGCACCATTTATTGAAGAGCAGGCTCCTGGTTGTCTACGCCTAGACCCGGAGTGATCTCCTTCAGAAATGCTGTCATGCACTTGGATGACCCCAAAGGCGACTTTGCTGAGTGAACTGCAATGTAGCAAACTGAGTGTATATTTTGAGAACTTCTGGCTCATAGGCAATGTGGTACTGATTGTCTTGGCAACCCACTTCAGCAAGGAATTTACCTTATAGACCCAGGCTTCCTGGCAGAAACTGACAACTGCTATAGCTAATGCTCTGGCCCACAAGTACCACTGAGTTCCTTGTCCAATATATTGGTGTCTACTAGACAGTCCTGTGTCCCAAGAGTCCATCTCCTTAAGATGGGATGGGGGCAGAGTACCCTGCCTGTAGATTCAGCTCCTGTATGATAAAAATAAATTATGTTCCATAAGAAAAAATTTAAAAAAACTACCATTAAAAAAAATACCAAGTCTTTGCAGCTGTTATTTGAGAAACATAATTACTCTGTTTAACATTTTTAGAAAATGTTCCAAAATCCTTCATTCCTTTTACAAAAATAGAATACCTTAATACAAAATCAAGGGCAGTATATAAAACTGAAGGTTAATTTTATGTATGTACAAAATTTGAGAATGTTTAGCAGTCCTTTTTAATAAGAACACTTTAGGTAAAATAAAATTGCAATAGAGGGGAAACTACCTAAACAGAAATTATTTCTCTGAAACTTAAAATTATAGTAAATGGTAAAAGTCATTTCCACTGCCTCTAGGAACAAGATAAGGATGTTTATTGCCCTTATTCAGCATTGTTTTTGAGGCAGCTAAGACTGTAAGGTAGGAAAATGAAAACAGTGTAAATAACCAAATTATTTGCACATGATATGACTGCTAGAAAAATCTAGGAAACTTGTATAGAAAATTCGTTGAATTCATGAGAATTTGGTGAAGTGGTTGGATAAAGACAGACTATGATATTATGTTGTCATTACCAAGCTAAAAGACTAATAACAAACATGACAGGAAGTGGATCCCTTGAATAATACAAGAGCCCCTACAGCTTAAAAAATGAAGTTAGCCTTTACACTTTTTGAAATTTAGCTATGAACTGGTACTTCTCAGAAGAGGAAAGTCTACCTGTGAAAATACCACAGTTCATGTGAAAACATTAGCAATGGACTTAGCAAATTTTAGAAGAGGGACAGTATCCTGTGCTGGAGAGGAGGATGTGAGAAGGAGACAGGTGCTCACGTGCATTGCTGGTTGGAGTGTGAATTGCTGTCAGAACTAAAAACTAAAACAGGTGGCTTTTACCTTGGTAACCCAGTGCTTGTGCGCCCAGCCCACAGACAGACATCAGTACAAGGAGGTTTGACAGTTTTGCTCATAGAGGACAAGGCTAGGCGATAACAACAGTAGAACATTTTTTAGTGGAATGGTGTATTGTTAGAATTTTTTTTTTTTTTTTTTTTTTTTTTTGAGACAGAGTCACTCTGTTGCCTGGGCTAGAGTGCTGTGGTATCAGCCTAGCTCACAGTCACCAACCTCAAACTCCTGGGCTCAAGTGATCCTCCTGCCTCAGCTTTCCAGGTAGCTGGGACTACAGGCATGCGCCACCATGCCCGGCTAATTTTTTCTATTTTTAGTTGTCCAGCTAATTTCTTTCTATTTATAGTAGAGACGAAGTCTTGCTCTTGCTCAGGCTGGTCTCGAACTCTTGACTTTGAGTGATCCTCCTGCTTCAGCCTCCAGCCTCCCAGAGTGCTAGGATTACAGGCATGAGTCACCGGGCCTGGCCCAGAAATTTTATAATTACTTTGAGAGAGGTTAGGTTAAAATGTTGCAAGTTCAGAATGTGTGCAAGCCAAGTTTTACAAAAGAAGATACATTTGTGTTTGTATATGGGCATTTATTTATTTATTTTTTTTGAGACAGAGTCTCACTTTGTTGCCCAGGCTAGAGTGAGTGCCGTGGCGTCAGCCTGGCTCACAGCAACCTCAATCTCCGGGGCTCAGCGATCCTACTGCCTCAGCCTCCCGAGTAGCTGGGACTACAGGCATGCGCCACCATGCCCGGCTAATTTTTTGTATATATATTTTTGGTTGGTCAATTAATTTATTTCTATTTTTGGTAGAGGCGGGGTCTCGCTCAGGCTGGTTTCGAACTCCTGACCTTGAGCAATCCGCCCACCTCGGCCTCCCAAAGTGCTAGGATTACAAGCGTGAGCCACCACGCCCGGCCTGTATATGGGCATTTATAAGAATATGAGCCTATCAAGTGTGATTAATATGTGGATCGCAGGCAGCTAGGGTGTTAGTATCTACTCTATCTTTGCATAGTTGGACTTGTATGATGCATTAAGTGACGTAAATTATAAAACAGGATAGTAAAATCCAGTTTTTTAAAATTATGACTGTGAGGCTTCGAGAACATTCGTAGGAAAAAATTTGGAATACATCATCATGGGGAATTGTGGCAAACTTTTGATTTGTTATATGTGAATATTTTTTACATGAGTGTGCTTTTTGTAATTAGAAAAACGAAAGGGGAGTAACTCCTGTCTAGGATGTTGCCTAGAGCCAGATGTGTCTCTAGCACAGAGCCTCAATACTTCAAGAATAAGACAGACCTCAAACTCATTTCCTGTGTTTACCATGTAGGATCTGTGTGATAATTTCAGCCCTTCACTGCTGTACTCTTTAATGACTCTGTGATAGTGGGGGCTGTCATTTATTACATGGCTTTATTAGCAATACTCAAAATGTCAGAGAAAGTTGAAAAACTATAGGTTAATAGTTTACGAGGTAAGATGCAGAAAAAATCTATAAACGGTCACTCAGTGCTTAGTATAAAATAAAAGTAGGAGAAAATGCAGATAGTGGTAGGAGAGGCAGTATAGATTAGAGTTAAAAGTGTGAAGTTGGCTTTCAGATAGTTCTAGGTGTTTGTTCCATTTCCTATTGGGTGCCTTTTGGCAAACTTTGTAACTTCTCCAGTTTTTCTCCATTGGTAAGACAGGGATAATAATAGTACCTCTAGGTTTATTTCATTGAAATGAGAAGGCATATAAACCATACAGAGTAAGCACTTAATTTTTGCTGTTACAGATATGGAAGAAAGTTTTTTTTTGTTTATGTGGCAACCGCTGTGGACATAAGCCCTTGCTTGCATTTTTTCCCCTTCTCTACTAGTGTTGTTTAACTACATCCATGTGTTGGCTCATTGATTCATTCCTATTCTCTCTGGAAGGTTCTAATAGAAGACTGTATTCCAGTACTGAAGAGGTACGCCAAAGAAGGGAGAGAGTTTGATTATGTGATTAATGATTTGACGGCTGTTCCAATCTCCACGTCTCCAGAAGAAGGTAGATTGTGTTTTGTTTTTTTAACCAAGATGTTTTTCATGGAAATATTTCTCTTGGCGCACCATGCAATGGTAAAAGGATTTTAGAAATCAGTTCTCTCATTTTTTAAATTTTTTTTTAAAGGGAGTTAAATTGAGGCCCATGGTAGAAAGATGACTGGGATTTGGACTTGGCTTTAATTCCTGTTCTGCCACTAAATGAGTTTAGAATTAACTCAGTCATTAGAAACAAAAGTTTAAAACGACTCATCACATCAAGACATTAAATTATTTGATTTATTTAAATTATGTGATTTTTTTTAACCAGTATCGGGGTAAACTGATGACCTTTGCTTAAATAAGAGATAATTCCACTTCTCAGATCACTGCTGGTTAATGTTTTTTCTATAAACTTGACTTCTGCTGAGCTGAGTTTGCAGACCTTTTTTGAGTTTGACTCTTATTGTTTCTCTTGATGTTGCTGCTTGCTTTCTTACTTAAAGCAGTTTTCTTTCAGATTTCAACCACTGCCTTTGTGTCAAAACTTTATTGGTTTTGTGAGAGCAGGGCTAAGTAGATGCACATTTGATTTTGACCTTGCTTTTTGTGGTGTGTGTGTGTGTGCGTGCGTGCATGCACTGGCCATATAACCATATGTTATCACTGATGAATGAGCTCTTGAATATTGGGTCTTTAAGTTTGTGGCTTGCTCCTTTTTCTTTGGTATTGAGTTTGAGAGTGAATATTTGACTTTAGATGTTGTTAATGCACAGAAACCCCTATTTATAAAACTTCATTTTTTTTAAACGTCCAGATTCCACATGGGAGTTTCTCAGACTGATTCTTGACCTCTCCATGAAAGTATTGAAGCAGGATGGGAAATATTTCACACAGGTAAGCTACTGAAGTGGCTTTCCCCCCAGAACTCTTAGTAAGAATTGTATATTTTGAAATTTGAATGCATATTCTCGAAATTTTAAGAGTGGAACAGCATCATTGGATTATGTTCTTTCAAGCAGTAAGTAATTGACCTGTCATCTGTCGGGCATTAATGAGTTCTTGTGTCCTATTAGCAGGATGTAAGATTTATCCTGATTTATCAATCTTGGTCTTTGGCTGTAGTGTGAGCTACTGCCACCAGATGGAGACACAGACTGATTTTTCTTTTTCCTCCCCTCTTCCTCTAGGAGACTCTTTAATTGCAAAGCACATTTCTCAACATGCGTTTTGCTCTGGTTGTAGTATGAACTCCTGCCACCAGATGGAAGCAGATTGTGCTGTTTTTCTCATTTTTCAGGCGATTCTTCATTTTAAAAGAAAGTTTATAGATTGTATTTCTTGATATATAAAAAATATATATAAAACCTATTAAAATTCTCAAAAAAATTCCGTAAATGGTTGCAAAGGCAGCTAATTGATAATCTGATCTCTTTATTTGGTACAGAAATTCGTTGATGAATAAACAAAAGATAAGCACTTAACATAGGTAGTATTGCAGTCTGGTCTCTGAATTCTGAGTTTGCAGGAGAATTCCCTCTACTTTTTTTTTTTTTTAAATAAAGAATGAGTATACTATATTTAAATGTCAGGTACAGGTAGAGGTATTAACTTTATTCTCCCCAGGAGGCATTTATAGGCACAACACTATCCTGGACATTTTGTGGATTCTTAGATTAATATTGCTGAAAACAACTTAGCGACTCTAAGACATCTTGACTCAGGTTCTATCCTATCGTGTTTTCTTCCTCTTCCCTCTGCCTGTGAGACCTGCAGGCAAGTGGAGATTAATCTTGGACTTTGCACTTGCTGAAAGTGTTGGGAAGCTTCAAGAAGAGCAAACAACTATCTACGAATGGATTTTTTTCCCTTGATATTTAGAAATGATTTTTTTTTAACACATTCTAGACCTTACTATTTAAAGCAGGTATCTGCAAACTATGGGCCAAATCCAGCTTTCTGCTTGTTTTTGTGAAGTATTTTTTTGCACACAGGCATGCCCATTCATTACATAGTGTCTGCGGCCGCTTTTGTGCTATTACAGCAGTGTTGAATAGTTGTAGTTGAATGCTGTGTGATCTGCAAAGCCTAAAATATTTTGTCTGGCCCTTTACGGAGAAAGGTTGCTGACCCCTGTTTTATAGGAAATCTACAGTGAAACCTGCTTAATGAAGGCTGCTTACTGTAAAGAAGCATGTTGGACTTTTTTCATGAGTGGGTATTTTGTGAAGCAGAGCACACCTATAGAATTTTTTATGTTTCTGCAAATATGTGGAAGGAAATCTCATGCAAGTTAAGTCAAGGAAGAATGTGAGGCTCTGGGATCTTTAACCAAAAGAGATTGAAAAATATACGGATCCACTGCAAAACCAGTCTGTATGTTAGTAGACAACACGTAGAGTTAGAAAGTGTGACTGTCCTCTTTTGTCCTGAGTATTTGCCTAGTAGGCTCCTATGGGGAACTTTAATCTTAATATGGAAGACAAATAGAGATGCTTGCTTAGACTATCACCATAGCCCATTCATAAATATCAACGACCTAGGCTTTGATAACTTGCCTTGCTAACTGACTTTTACCAAAAATCACAAGGATTATATGCCCAGGGCTATGCTGGTTTCCAAGAATTGTCCAAAAAACATATCATGACATGTTTTTCATTCCCACGTTCATTACAGTGGGAACCACAAAGTGATCTCATAACACACCTGGGTGTCATGCAGGCCATTTGGTGGTTGAATGTGTCACATGGCGAAATGCATATGAACTAAGGGGAGGGGGGGAGTATAGGCTTTCAAGAAGCAGTATTCGAGTCAGGAAGCAGGGTGGTTTGACTCGGGATGTGTTGATGGAGTTGCCACAGTGTAATTTTTTTTTAACTGCCAAGTGACATGCTTAGGAGATGGGCCCTGATTGCCGCTGCCATCCCCACCCCGCCTTGCCTGAGTGTGTAGCTGAGAACTGGAGTCAGGTTAAGGATGGGATGAAAGTGTGTGGTGGTGATTTATAAAAGCTAAATGCTCCCGCCGAAAACTGCTTGCATCACAGTGGTGAGGTCATGATGTCAGTGGTGTCATCTGGGCTGCTTGAAGGCAACTTTGTCAGCATGCCATGAAGCTGGGGAAAGCGTCATGGAGCACAGGGGGATTGAGGTGGGCCAGTGGAATTGCAACTGGGGAGGAAGTGTTTTCATGGAACTAGGAGGCAGTTCCTGGGACTTGACCTTCACCTCCCTTCTTTTCCCCACCCCTCATTTAAAAAACTGTAGGTTATTTTATACAGGTTAAGTTATGATGCAGAATACTAGCAGTCCCCAGCCCTCCACCCAATTTGAAAACTGGATATAATCAGTACCTTTCATGTGTCTGTAGTCCTCCCTTATTCCTGCCTGCCTTCTAGAAGTAACCTATTCTTTTTTTTTTTTTTTTTTCTTTGAGACAGAGTCTCACTCTGTTGCCCTGGCTAGAGTACCGTGGTGTCAGCCTAACTCACAGCAACTTCAAACTCCTGGGCCCAAGCAATCCTCCTGCCTCAGCCTCCCGAGTAGCTGGGACTACAGGCATGCACCTCCATGCCCAGCTAATTTTTTCTATATATTTTTAGTTGGCCAACTAATTTCTTTCTATTTATAGTAGAGACAGGGTCTCGCTCTTGCTCAGGCTGGTTTTGAACTCCTGACCTTGAGCAATCTGACTGCCTCTGCCTCCCAGAGTACTAGGATTACAGGCGTGAGCCACCGCACCCGGCCTAGAAGTAACCTATTCTTAATGTCATTCTTTCTATTCCTATGCTTTTTTTATAGATGGTTCATGTTTATGTGATTTCCTAAATCATTACATTACTTAGTTTGGCTTGGTTTTTTGGAACTTGATTTAAACAAAATGTTGTTAAGGATGTATTCTTCTGTACCTGTTATTTTTTTACATTACACAAATAATATATTGCTAACTAACTTAAGTATAAAAGATGTAAATGATACAGAATTCATAAAATAAAAGGAAGTGTCAGATACCCACACCTAATGTGGGGCAGAGAGAACTTTCTGGAACTAAAACTGCTGAATTGGGTTTTAACTCCTAGGTGTGTCCCCGCAACCCTTGTCCCACCTTTTCCTCTCATCCTTAATAGGTGCTTAATTCTTTGCTGTTAGATTTTTGTTCATCTCCCATGTGTCTTTCTTAAAACAAACAAACAGGCATTTCATTTAAATAGGGAAGTGAAATGTATCATGTTACTTTTTTTGGGTAGGTCTCTATTTGTGGTATTTTTTTTTCTTTTTTAAAACTGCTTCTTGACAATGTTGGGAAAAAACAAATTGAAACTTTCCTATTTCCTTACCACACTCTCTGTAAGGAAGTCCTCCCATATACCCTCTATAAAGAGAGAGAGAATTGTCAATTTTAAGATGGCAAGGAAAGCCATTTACACTGCACCTTGGTGGCATTTCTATTCTATACCTTCCCCAGTGGTATGTGTTGTAAAAATAACTATAGGCAGTGTTTTCTATTTGTGAACTTTAAATTACACGTGTGGTGTTTATATGCTCTCATGGTGAACTTGATGTTGAAACCAAATTATATGCTGGTGAAGGGCACTGTGGCCATATCCCACTGCAGGACCCTAGATGATGGGTTACTAAACAGGCTGGCACTGAAGGACGACGTCATGCTAAGCAAATGTGCTAAGTTAAAACCACCAAGGCCAGCTCTCAGAATAGTTCTAACCTCTTGCCCGTGACTAGTTGGCTGGTTGGTTTTGAAATGCCATACTGCCTTTATTTGTAAATAATTTGGTCTTACGTGGTACATGGCTATTTTGAAGTACATTAATAGTAAAGTTCGTAAGAAGAAATGGAATCTGCACATAGATTTAGTAGTCTTGTGAATGTTAAGACCTTCAGAGGTTAAAGGGAAATAAATAGGTGGTATTAAACATCCATCTTGTTTTGTAAATCCATAATGAAAAGCACTTGGGGGCACATTGTGCTGAAATGATGATAAATCCTACCCCAGACGTACTAATTCAAAAATCTGCATTTTAATAAGATTTCCTTTGATTCATATACATATTAAAGATAGAGAAGCTAAAGCTGGGCAAATACTGGATCCACTGCCCAGCTCTGCTATATCTTGCATGACATCTCTAATTCTCATCACCATTTTTCCCTTGTGGTCACAGAATGGCTGCCGTGGCTCCAGATACCACATTCAGGTTATAGGCTGGAAGAAAGTTGAAGGAGTGGGCTGCTCTATCTTTGCTTGTTCAGAATCAAAAGCTTTCCCAGCAGCCCCCAGCAGACTGCCACTGTATCTCATTGACCACCCCTAGCTGCTGGGGATCCTGAAAAAAGTGGTGACCAGAGAGGGAGAAAAGTTAGAATGATGAAACTGAGAGAAAGTTTTTGATCAGGGGTGCAACTGGGGGATCGTTGGCATATATATCCTGAAGAAACGTTTGTTCTTTTATGCCTTAAGATCACAGATTTTGGGGAACGCATGAGGGGTGAATGTTGTTCTCTGTCAATGTTTTACACTCTTGGGAGACTTGTAGTTTAAAAACATTCTGGAAATCGAGAACACTCTATTTTTGCTACTTAATTTTCAACACAATGGTGACATGACCATTATTGAGAAAATTTACTTTGAACGGGTTGTGTGTATGAATCTTTGCTAAATTGCATGGTGTCGATACAATGATGTGTCACTAATGAGAAATTGGTCTCACTGCTTTTTATTGCTTCATACTCTAATAATTTGAAATGGCTTGGTAAATGAGGTAGAAGGATAATGAACGCATGAGTCTATAAATAGAATTCAATGCAATTTGTAAAAGTACAGAAGCCTTATTTTTCAAAGATGAACTTTTATCTAAAGCTAGATTTGCTCTCCTTTATTGGAGACCTTCAAACGAGATGAGCAGGGTGCTCGGTAGGACTCAATCTTATTGTTTGTGTTTCTCCCTTTGATTTAGGGGAACTGTGTCAATCTGACAGAAGCCCTGTCGCTCTATGAAGAACAGCTCGGGCGCCTGTATTGTCCTGTGGAATTCTCGAAGGAGATCGTTTGTGTCCCTTCATACTTGGAATTATATCCTTTGACCGTGACATTGTGTTGCCGGATCAGAGCACCCAAGTCAATCCTATGCCAATTTAACATTTTTAAATCACAGTAATGAATGGAATTAGCTCTGGAATATATAAAGCCTGGGTTCTCAAACTTGGCTGCATATTGGAATTCCCCCAGGAGCTTTAAAACAAAACAAAACAGATTCCCAAGTCCCACCCTCAGAAACTCTGGGAGATGACTTGCCACAAGTTCCTAGATGCTTTTAACAAGCAGCACTGGTCCAAAAGCACTGGTTCTCAAAGGAATTCTCAAACTTGCAGCATCACCTGGGAAGAGCTAGTTAGACATTCAAATTCTCAAGCCCCATCCTGACCTGCTGCCCGGTCAGATGCTGGAAGTGGGGCCCAGGGACTTGTTTTACCAGCCCTCCAGGGGATTTTTGTGCACCTGAAAAGCTTGAGAAGCCCTAGTCTAAAACATTGCCATACTTGTGATAGGTAAAAGTCTGTATGAAGACAGTCATCCCGCGCTTTTTTTTTTTTTTTTTTTTTTTTTTTTTTTTTTTAAACAGAGTCTCACTCTGTTGCCCAGGCTAGAGTGCTGTGGCATCAGCCTAATTCACAGCAACCTCAAACTCCTGGGCTCAAGCGATCCTCCTGCCTCAGCCTCCCGAGTAGCTGGGACTACAGGCAAGTGCCACCATGCCTGGCTACTTTTTTTTCTATACATTTTTAGTTGGCCAATTAATTTCTTTTTTTGGAGGGGGGGCGCAGAGTCTTACTTTGTTGCCCAGGCTAGAGTGAGTGCCGTGGCATCAGCCTAGCTCACAGCAACCTCAAACTCCTGGGCTCAAGCGATCCTCCTGTCTCAGCCTCCCGAGTAGCTGGGACTACAGGCATGCGCCACCATGCCCAGATAATTTTTTGTATATATATTAGTTGTCCAATTAATTTATTTCTATTTATACTAGAGACAGGGTCTCGCTCTTGCTCAGGCTGGTTTTGAACTCCTGACCTTGAGCGATCCTCCCGCCTCGGCCTCCCAGAGTAGTAGGATAACAGGTGTGAGCCACCATGCCGGGCCTATCCCGCTCTTATATTATTAAAGTTATCTGACTTTAATATTAGTTTCTACACTTGGTGCCTATTTGCAGTAGACATTGAGAACCAGAATAATGCTGGGGACGGCACAGTTAATGTCGGGGCTCTCCATTAGTCACACTTAGTAAAGTTAGCCCAGAGAAATAAGAAAACGTGGAGAAGAACCAAAATGACAGCATTGTCGCTGGAAATTTGCACTGCATTTCCTTCTTCTAAAATGTGGACTGTAGTCTGCAGAATGACAGCTTCCTCATCTGTGGTGGCCGAGTCCAGGTTCCCGTGACAGCAGTTTTTTATTTCTGTCAAGGGATAGGCCGGGCGCGGCGGGGTGGCTCACGCCTGTAATCCTAGCACTCTGGGAGGCCGAGGCAGGCAGATCGCTCAAGGTCAGGAGTTTGAAACCAGCCTGAGCAAGAGTGAGACCCGACTCTACTAAAAATAGAAAGAAATTAATTGGCCAACTAAAAATATATAGAAAAAATTAGCCGGGCATGGTGGCGCATGCCTGTAGTCCCAGCTACTCAGGGCCCGGGCGCTGTGGCTCACGCCTGTAATCCTAGCTCTTGGGAGGCCGAGGCGGGCGGATTGCTCAAGGTCAGGAGTTCAAAACCAGCCTGAGCAACGAAGCCCCGTCTCTACTATAAATAGAAAGAAATTAATTGGCAACTGATATATATATAAAAAATTAGCCGGGCATGGTGGCGCATGCCTGTAGTCCCAGCTACTCGGGAGGCTGAGGCAGAAGGATCACTTGAGCCCAGGAGTTGAGTTGCTGTGAGCTAGGCTGACGCCACGGCACTCACTCTAGCCTGGACAACAAAGTGAGACTCTGTCTCAAAAAAAAAAAAAAAAAGAAATTAATTAGTATAAATTAGCCGGGCATGGTGGCGCACGCCTGTAGTCCCAGCTACTCGGGAAGCTGAGCAGAAGGATTGCTTGAGCCCAGGAGTTTGAGGTTGCTGTGAGCTAGGCTGACGCCACGGCACTCACTCTAGCCTGGGCAACAAATTGAGACCTCTGCTCAAAAAAAAAAAGAAACACTATATGGGCTACAGGGGATGAAGATCACTTATTAAGAGTAGAAAATCAGAAATACTGAGTGTGAAGGGGCATGTAATGCACCCAATATGCTGACAGAAGCTGCCCTTAGCACTGGGAGGAGGGACAGAGGGGGAATTTCAGATATCAAATTTAATTCAGTGGGTTGGGCGCGGTGGCTCACACCTGTAATCTTAGCATCTTGGGAGGCCGAGGCGGGAGGATTGTTCCTGGTCAGGAATTCAAAACCAGCCTGAGCGAGACCCTGTCTCTACTAAAATTAGAAAGAAATTAATGACCAACTAAAAATATACAGGAAAAAAAAAAAAATTAGCCAGGCATGTGGCACATGCCTGTAGTCCCAGCTACTCGGGAGCTGAGGCAGGAGGATTGCTTGAGCCCAGGAGATAGAGGTTGCTGTAAGCTAGGCTGACGCCACGGTACTCACTCTAGCCTGGGCAACAAAGGGAGACTCTGTCTCAAAAAAAAAAACCAAAACCGGAAAACAAACAAACAAACAAACAAACAAAAGACCAGCCTGAGCAAAAGACCCTGCCTCTACAAAAAAAATTAAAAAAAAAACAAACAGAAAAATTAGCCAGGCGTGGTGGTATGCATCTATAGTCCCAGTTACTCAGGAGGCTGAGGCAGGAGGATCACTTGAGCCAAGAGAGTTTGAGGTTGCAGTGAGCCTATGCAAGGTCACTGCCACTCCAAGCCTGGCTGCAAACAAGACCTGTCTCAAAAAAAAAAAAAAAAAAAAAATTAACTCAGACAACTGAGAACGGCGCCAGTAGAATTCTAGAAAGTAGAAGAGGATGTGGAATGTAGTGCAGAGCTGTGTGCATGACCAAGTCCAAGGAGTGTTTCTGGTCCCCTCAGCAATGAACAGAGAGCAGCACTCTAAATCACTTAGCAAGAACCTAGCTACCACCATAATCATTAACCAAGACATTACATTATTTTAGAAAAAAAAAGAATTTCCCAATAGGTGGAACTAGGAGTCATCTCCAAAAAAGATGACTTAGGGTCAAAGCCAACATCTGGCGACCACCCTTGGCCAGTCTTTTGGGAAATACGATGGAGCAACTCTCCAGTCATCCCTCTCTGGATACTGGAAGTCTTCTGTCTAAATACACTTAGCTTGTTAGCCCGCCTCTCTACTCAAGAGAACCCCCGGATGCATTTATTGTGTTACATTTATGTGCACAGAGAGGACCTATTCCCTAATGCTCCATTCCATAAAGGAATTGCCACAAAAATGATCACCCCATGGTTGGATGCTGCATGGGAAAACTGTCTGTATTGATGAGCTGGCCTGGCATCCCCGGGACCCCCAGATATAGGAGATAAGTAATACCTGTCCAGTTACATTTATCATCCAGTTTCCCAGGGAAATCACATCCAAGAGTATTCAAATAGCTTTCCAAAGCACTACTTCTTGTCCATGTTCTACTATTCTCATTTTGAAATATGAGTAAAGCAGAAATCACTGGAACGACTGCATGAGGTAATTGAGATTTAAATGGTTGCTGGCCAAGGAGAATTGATTGCCAGTATTGAATTTGAGGTTCCAACAGAAGGGTGAAGGGACTCTACCTATCCTTCCCCACCACCCAGAAACAATGAAACAATGGAAGAAAAATTCTAGGTCAGGGGTTGTTAACCTGGAGTCTATGGACAGAATTCTGTGTGTCATAAACCTGGATGGGAAAACATTCTATGTTTATCTTCACTAACCCCTTGCTGAAATTTAGTATTTCCTTTAACCAATGAACAGAGATGACGAACCCTATTATAACACAGAGCAGTTCCATGACTTTGTCCAACAGAAATCTGATGTGTTATCACATTTCAGTCGCCTACAGATCTATGCATATTTACTACTTCACAATTATGGTATCCAACCCACCACCTCCAGCTATTTAAAATAGCAGCACAAATATTCAATCAAGGGCGCGGTGGTCACGCTGTAATCCCACTTTGTGAGGCAAGCTGGAGGATCGCTCAAGGGTCAGAGATTCGGAAACCAGGCTGAGCAAGAGTGAGACCCTGACTCTACTAAAATAGAAGCAATTAGCTGGATAACTAAAAATAATAGAAAAAAATTAGCCAGGCATTGTGGCACATGCCTGTAGTCCCAGCTACTTGGGAGGCTGAGGCAGGATGATCGCTTAAGGCCCAGAAGTTTGAGGTTGCTTGTGAGCAGGCTGAATGCCACGGCACTCTAGCCTGGTAATGGAGTGAGACTCTGTTCTCAAAAACAAAAAAACAAAAAAAAATTCAATCAAATTTTGAAAAGGATAGTTTGCTTGCAAATTCTATTTTGTGTACTTAATATTTAAAAGCTGTTTCTGAGAAGGGGCTCACGGGTTTCATCAGTAGCTACCAAAAGGAGTCCAGGGTACACAAAAAGAGGTTCAAGAACCCATGATGGAAGCTTCCACGTTGAAAACTGAGAATGCTGAAACCTAATTCCTCTGTGCACAAGGAAATCAGCCACACTGCTTCGTTCACTGAGAAAGTCTTTGCTACGAAAAAAGTTCTGCTGAAGTAAAAGTGCTTAGAAACAAAGCTGGTTGACAGAGCACACTTGGAGTTCCACTGTTTCTAGAGCCTTGAACACAGGCAATGATAAAGAACACAACAAACATCCACGATTCCCCACCCCTATCCCCAGGAGTCATGGGAATGAAATGAAATTGATCTATTGTGAGAGACAGACGGTATAGATAGATGTGAACTCTTGTCAGCAATCGTTAATGCAAGCAAGGAAGTGACTATTCAAAGGCGTAGGAAGATATTTTTTATTTCGACATCAGCACTGCTCCAGCCCATTAAAAACACTGTCAACGCAGCCTTCCTTCCAGCCCCGTCAGATCGCTATTAATCAAGTTCTTAAAATATTCATCACACATCCAAAGAAAGCATTTCATTTTTTTAATGAAATCAATTCTTGATATCTCATGTGTTAAATAGATTTTAAACTACAGCCATATTTGTCTTGTCTTAAAAACGCAGCTCTAGGATACTACAGTATATTCCATTTTAAATTATAACGGGACTATAACACATATAAACTACAGCACACTACAGGAAAATAACAGTGCTAGATCTATAACATCTTTAAAAGGCAGCAAAAGCAGAGGTGTTTTTAAGTTATCCAGTTCAGTTTCCATGCTTTTTTGTTTTAAAAGTAACAACATGTTCAAAACAATCAGACATCATTTCTCCAATACAAAGATGATGAGTAGGATCAGAATTCGCATTATCACCCCAAATAATAAATTATTGATTCCATCCCCCCTCCCATTCTGACATTTCCTTATGCTTTCCTGAATGTATCTTCTATGGCCTGGCACAAACACGATCCACTTTC